CATGGTCTGCCAACAAGAAGAATTTCAGTATGACTAAAAGAGAACCTATTTCCCATCCGTCAGCTTGAATGACAACATCATTGTGTCGTGTGTCAGTTATGTCACTAGGTTATGCCCACTCGTTTACCAGGTTAGAAGTATTGATGCAACGAAAAATTAGTTCATTTTGATGTTTACCCACTCAAGGACAGTTTAGCCCCGAGACTTAGGGATATGGTACGACGTCATGCTCGAGGCCGTCTATTTCGATTCCTGAAAACCGTCATTTAATGCTGTCAGAGAGACTGATATTGAGGCGGAAATGTATTTCCACCCCATTAGGCTTGTGAACGTCTCCTAGGTATAAATCATAACTCATAACAGACGTGCGAACAATCAAACACCATTACAAACAACAGGACACAGAGAGAAATGGTCTACTACTTCATTTACAACATTTTAGGGAACTTAAAAATTTCCCACCGTCTGGCGAATTATTTACCATTCCCACCATAGAACATGAAGATGCCACATATATTCAGGGTTTGACGACCATTTTGTCGTTAATATTTTTATAACCGAAGGATGCCAGCACAGTCAAACTAAAAGTCAAGAATGAACGAGTTTGAAGATATACTTGGATGGCTGTCGATATGTCGAGAGGCGTTTGATCTAAACTGGCTAATCGTTGCAGAGGATATGTAGCACTATGTAGCACCCACTCGTGATCTGGTGTGGAATTTATGGTCAGACGCCTTCAGCTAGGGTGTGTCCAGTAAAATCAGTGAGGTCATCAACGACCTAAAGACCTAAAGAGCTACATAGTTTGGGGGATTTATTTGAGGGAGGCAGCCTCAATCCTGGCAACGCCGCTTAGCGTGATGTTTTCACACTCGCTTAGCCGAGGCAAACTACCGGAAAATTGGAAGTTGGCTCACATCACACCAATTTTCAAAGGTGGTCGACGCAATGAACCTTCAAGTTACCGGCCGGTAGCTCTTCTGTCGTTACCTTCAAAACTCATGGAGTCCCTGATATGCGACGGTTTAAATGACTACCTACTGTCCTTAAATTTCTTCTCACCCCAACAGCATGGTTTCAGGAAGGGTTACTCTTGTATAACCAACCTGCTGACTGCGGTGGACAGATGGACAAGCATCCTCGATCGCAAGGGAAAGGTTGATGTCATTTACCTTGATTTCTCAAAAGCTTTTGATAAGGTTAACCACTTGTGTCTTATCAACAAGCTCAAACGACTAGGTATCAAACCACCTCTAATCGACTGGCTTACTTCATACCTAAAAAATCGACACTTTAAGGTTAGGGTTGATTTCACTTTATCTCAAGCTATGGAATGTCCTAGTGGGGTCCCCCAGGGCTCAGTACTAGGGCCTCTTCTCTTCTTGATCTACATAAATGATCTTCCTCAACAGGTAACGTCAGACTTATTACTTTTTGCCGACGACGTGAAACTTTGGAGAGAGATACGCAACCAAGACGATATACAGGCACTTCAAGAGGATCTGACTCGACTTCATAGTTGGGCAGACGATAACGGACTTACCTTTAACACTTCAAAGTGTAAAGTAGTCCATCTGCGACATGTCGCAAACTACAGTTACAACTTAGGAAACTCCTCTCTAGTAGTATCCCAAGTCGAAAAAGATTTAGGAGTCCTGGTGCCCCATGACTTAAAGTCTTACGCTAACTGTGACAAAAATGCCTTCCGAGCAAACCTTGCACTGGTAACGTTGAGGCGCATTTTTGGTCAGTTTGACGGAAGAACTTTCCACACAATCTTCAATAGTTTCATCCGTCCCCATTTAGAGTACGGAAACATAATACTCCCCCCCTCACTCCAAAAGGATAAGGTCACTTTGGAGCGTATCCAACGGCGAGCCACGAAATCAGTTCGAGGACTCAAATCTAAGCCTTACGAAGAACGCTTCCGTTCACTAGACCTTTACCCACTAGAATATAGGCGTCTTAGAGGTGATTTATTAATGGCTTATAGTATTCTTAACACTTCTAGACATCCTCTTAAACACCTACTTAAGCTTAGTTCGAACAATAACCTAAGGGGTAACACCCAGAAACTGGAAACACAACATAGCAGGACGGAATGTAGACACAACTTCTACTCCTTAAGAGTTGTCAAAAGCTGGAACTCGCTGCCGGCCGAGCTAGTCCAAGCGACTTCTCAGGAGTCCTTCAAGAGGCAACTTGACCTATTCTTAAGGACCAAGGACAGCATCGCACTATGATTTACCAATTTCTTTTCCTCTTTTATTGTTAACATACCTAGGTACCTGCCTGGAGGATTTGGTGATCCCCTGCTACTAGACACGGAAGCCTGTTAAGCGAAAGCTTCTTCTATTCCGTCCACAACCATTTGAACCATTTGAACCACTACAAACGCAATGTAACCATATATTAGATTCAGATTTCAGATTTGTGTAGTAAGGACAGAAGGCCTACGGCCTATGTTATTCCTTCTCTAGTATGCTTCTGTGAGTGTTCAATTTTCTCTTGAAAGAGTCAATTGAAGGTGCGGACACCACTGCTTCAGACAGCAGGTTCCAAATATTGATGACTCGGTGTGAAAACCTGTATGCCACGGGTATTTTGTTCGTTCTTGGCTTTTCTACTCGCCTGCTATGTCCTCCAAGGTGTCCCGATCTAGTGGGAAGAAAGAGAGAGAATAAGTTAGGTCCGAAATCATTTCTCAGTATTCTGTACATCAAAAATAGATCTCCCCTTAGTCTGCAATAGAACACAGTAAAGAGGTCTAGTTTTTCAAGCCGCTCTTTGTATGAAAAATCCAGAGTTCCGGAATTGCATGGGTAGCTACCCTCTGTACTATTTCTAGTATGTCCGAGTCACCTTTTAAACAGGGGCTTGCAGCCTGAACGCGGTTCTCTAACTTAGTTCTCACTAAGGATGTGTATACTGTGGTGAACGTGGTAGTATCTAACTTAGTGAATGCCCTTTTTAAAGCCCAGAAGTTTCGAAACCCCTTGGCTGCGACCTCCCGGCAATGGGCCGTCGTCTTAAGATCATGACTCACTATCACCCCTAAATCCTTATGAGACCGGACTACGGGTAATGACACATCCCCTATGTTGTACGTATTAACCTTGGAATCCCCCAAGTGCATGTAGACACACTTTTCCGAGTTGATAGGCATTAGCCACTCTTTAGACCAGTTTATCATATTATTTAAGTCCGCCTGAAGAGTAAATGCGTCTTTGTCTCCAGTTACTACTCGCCAAATTTTTACATCGTCAGCGTATAATAACATTGGAGACTGTATTATACTTGTAAGATCATTAACGTACATTATAAAAAGTAAAGGACCTAAGACGGAACCTTGGGGTACTCCACTAAGTACTGGTCTCCAGATGGAGCACTTGGAATTTATTCTTACTTTTTGTCTACGACCTACTAGGAAATCCTTAATCCATTTTAAAAGAGGTCCGACAATACCAAGGTTTTCCAACTTCAACAGCAGTCTATTAGTTAGCACCTTGTCAAAAGACTTACTGAAATCTATGTAGACAACATCCACTGAGTTTCCGTTGTCTAGCGCATTAATCCAGAACTCCCTTGCTATAAGGAGGTTCGTTGTACAGGATATACCCTTTCTAAAACCATGTTTTGCCATATTCAGCAAGTTATTGGTTTCCATAAATGCCGTTATGGTTCGTTTGATTAGTCTTTCTAGTATTTTAATTACAACACTAGTGAAGCTTGCGGGTCTGTAATTCGATGGAACTTGTCGTGCACCTGTTTTATGTATGGGAGTGACGATTGCGTCCTTCCAGTCCATAGGTAACACACCTTGGTCAAGTTCCAGCATTTCTTCTTTTGTCTTAGTAAACGTCGTATATCCCGGCCTATCCAGGGATGTCCGTGCTTCTTTTTCTTTGGGACAGTCCAGGGTATGTATGGTTGAGTTACCCGATTGTATAACTGCCTGAATAGAGTCCATGCCTCTTGTACTGATGCCTTTGAGTCAATTTCCCAGTTCTCAGCCGATGCTGCGGAGTTAATTGCCTGCATATCTGCCTTCCATATGATAGGACGGGCCAGAGCAATTGTTTGAGAAGCGATTTCAGCCATGAATTTGAATAAGATGACTGCATGGTCACTTCTCACAAGTGGTGGGAGAAAAGCCGTTTGACCAACGTCATCACCGTGTGTGAAGACTAAATCTAAAAGAGAGGAAGAGTTTCTTAACTCGTATCTTGTGGGATCTCTAATGTGTTGGAATAATGCTAGTCCAATCTACGTTTCTAACAGTTTGGAGTCGAACGACGATATAGATGACTCTACTTCTAAGTTAACCCAGTTTATATACGGTGCATTTAAGTCGCCTACTACAAGTCTTTTACCGTTATTACACCAGGAATTAAGTTTACTTATGAGAAAATCATGTGCTGCACATTCTAGACTGCAATATACTACAACTACTTCAATATCTTGCCGTCGGCATTTCAACTTACATCTCACCAGTTCACATGTCCCTGAAACATGTGCTGCTTTCTCAGCTAATCTTATGGTTAGGGCACTTTTCGTGTACAGAATAACCCCGCTTCCCCTTCGGTTTAATCTATCAGCCCTACTGGTTATGAAACCAGTCAACTGGATTTCACTATCTAATACTTCTGACGTTAACCAAGTTTCCGAGACAACATTAAGTATCTTAAGTAATGAACTGGACAATAACATGTCTCATCTATTTGTCTTCTTTGAAACCAACCTTCCATGACATTATAAGAAGGTTCATAAACTGCTATCAAATAAGCTGGGAGCGGGATTCTGTTTTCCTCATCGAATGATCGACGATTAAGATGCCCTACATGAATAACTGATATTAACCCCAACATTGTTTTCGAAAAAAATTTGGTTATCTTTTGAAAAAGCTGTAAGAACTAACACAAGTCACTTAAAATACTATTTTTATTGCCGAAAATTAAAGATTGAAATATTGAAAATACGGCGGCGTATTCAAAATGTGAGTTACCATGTGTATTTGGAGGTAAACTTCCTACTCAACGATTCCAGTTATTTCACGCCTTAGTTAATGTAAAGTCGGCGTATTTCACACTGATGTATATAAACCTAAATAGCTCCCAAGTTGAAAGAGATCTGGGAATGTTAGTACCCTATGATATAGAGTTTTACGTTAACTGCTACAAAAATGCCTTTCGAGCAAACCTTGCACTGGTGATATTGGAGTGCATTTTTAGTCAGTTTGACGGTAAAACTTTCCACTTAATCTTCAACAGTTTTATTCAACTCCATTCACAGTGTGGAAATAGTATTTCCTCCCTCACTCTGAAAGGATAAGGGTACACTGGAACGTATCCGATGGAGCCACGATATCAGTTCGGCGAATCGAATCCAAGCCCTATGGAAAGTGCGTCACGCCACGAAACCGTTACTCATTAGATTTTAGGCGTCTCAGAGGTGACCTAATAACTTACAACGTCCTAAACTTCTCTGGAATCCCTTCAAGTACCTACTTAAGCTCAGTCCCAACACAAACGTTAGGGATAATACTTAGAAACTGGAAGCACAACATAGCAGAACGGACTGCAGGTATACCTTCTACTCCTTAGGAGTGGTCAAATGCTGTCATTCGCTGCTTGTCGATATGGTCCGTGAGACTTCCTAGGCGTCCTTTAAGTGACCTGCTTCGGTTTGGGCACCCGGGCAGTATCCTGACCGTCTCTTACTTACGAAATGAAATTCTATAAGTTTGAACTATTGCAATCAAAATACTTGGTACTTTTAATTTTGAGTCCCAACTCTTCATTACATTCAAATGCCGTAGTCAACATGTAGAGGTTCGAATACCTCTACTTCAAAGCCATAGTGCTGTTTGACCATTCTGTTTCTTCACGTACATGGTCTCAATCAAACAAAAAAGAGGAAATAAAGGAGAAATTTTCAAATAAGTTCCCACTTTTTGCCTACAATGGGCAAAAAGAAGACATTTTTCTAAAGTATTACATGTCACATGGAAAGGTAGACTTTTCACCTCAATACACATCAAGTTTATTTATTTATTTGAACACAAATATTGGTACAAGGAGGCACTAGATACATATAAGCCTTTACTTTCCTATTTTTTGTTTGTTTTGGGTCTATCGAAACCATTATATGACCTGTCGCAAATGCGTGTCAACCCCAGTTACCGAATTAGAGCAATATAAATACTGAAATTGGTCCGAATAGTAGTAGAATCAACGACGAAAATCTTTTCCATCACTCTTTATTTACCCATAATTTTTCTACTTCTTGTTTTCTGTTGTTGGCATTATTATTTCCGTCCTTTTGATATCTTCCCGTAATAGTAAATCAAGATGATTAGGAATAGTATGCATTTATATCGAACTATACTGTTTGTTTTGTGTTAGGTCATAGTGTTTATTTTTCTCATGTGATTTGTAGTTTACCTTTCGAATAACTAATCTATGTATTCATAATTTCAGACCTAATGATTCAAGAATCGACATCTGTCTGTGTTGTTTTTAGTGGGAAAAGAAAATCAGGCAAAGATTATACTGTTAATCGTCTGACTAATCTGCTCCAATGTAATCATCTTTCTTGTTTAGTAGTACGAATAAGTGAACCAATTAAATCGTATTTCGCTGAACATTATGGATTGGACTTGTCTGAATTATTATCCTCCAACGAATATAAAGAAAAATATCGAAAACAAATGATTGATTGGATGGAACAGGAAATTAGGCAAGATCCTTATATATTCATCCGGAAATCATTGCTTGAAAGTATTAGACGATGTGGGATACCTCATCCTGATATTATTATTATCTCAGATGCCAGAAGGACAAATGATGTGGAGTATCTCATCAGGACATTTGGTCGATCCAAATGTTTGTTAATACGTATTGTCACACCTATAGAAGTTAGAATCGAACGGGGTTGGTCATATGTTGATGGGGTTGATAATGCTATGTCCGAGTGTGGATTAGATAAATTCACTTGTTGGGATTACATTTTATCCAATGATGGAGACGAAAGTGCATTTAAAAACCATTTAAATGATATTGTTGCACTCATTAAAGAAGTGCGGAAATGATCCTAATGCTTATTATGCACTCATTGATAATAATGTTTGATGCAAGTGTAGTCGTTTACGTTGTATGGACACTTTCAACAGGCGTTTACTGCAACAATGCTGAGACGTACTTTTGAACACTGTCGCAGCTGAACGAGTTTACTTCTCAGATGATCGTTATTCTGGCTACAAATTTCCAGATTGTTTGAGAAATCTTGTTTGGTTATTGGAAATAGGATACTGATCTACTTCAAAAAATCCCAGTCGACTCATGTCTAGATTTATTTATTTATGAGATTGTTCCTGCATAACTCATGAGATCTGACTTTAAAACCCTCACGGTCAAATATATATTCAGTGTACATCAGATAGTCAGTATCTCCATTTTTAGTAAAAGCAGTTTTTTTCCTGAGTATGTCACCCATCATTTTCATAATACATTTTTATAGACATATTCTTTTTGTACTATTGAGACTTTAATATTTGCCGTAGATCCAACTTCGTTATTGCTTATTCTTAAAAAATGTTAAATGCAAACGAATTCGCCACAAATAATGGCTGGTTAACCGTAAATAACACGTTTTAACCGCCTCAGTTGATGAAGATACACAACCTCGTTAAATCTGTCCTCTAACTTGTATTTAGCCAACTACTACATTTATATTTTATGGAGTTATACAATGCGGTAGTAACCTGTTGCTGGGATATTATTTATTGGAGTCAGATATTGAAGACATTAGCATCAACATATTGTTTAGCCGCCGTTTCAACATATTGGATCACGTCGGGCTCACCAATATGTTGAAACGGCAGCTAAACAATATGTCGATGCTAATGTCCTCAATATCTGACTCCAATAAATAATATCCCGTTGACTGAGTATTTAAGGTAGGCTTAATCTCTTAGTAGAATTATGGATTTACTCGAAATTATTGAGAAGCCTGAACACCAGTTGTAGAGATAATTTATTGTTAATGATTAATAATAATCCGCAAGCGTACAGCGAGCAAGCACACGATGAAACAAAGTGTGAGTGAGTGTGTGTGTGTGTGTGTTAAAAATCCATATATATTTTTGAAAGTTAATCAGGTGTGGATAAATTATCGATTATCTGCACATTGCAACCAATAGGAGGATAGCTTAAGGGTTAATGTACAGACGTGCATTCGATCATACACACCGAAATTAACATAGTGAATTAAGAGTCTGAAATGCACACAGAAATTAACATGATGAATTAAGTGTCTGAGTTACAATGAATAGACAAATGATACATTGGCCAAATGGGCTTGCCACAACATCAACTCTAGGATGCAAGTACATCCAGCCGACGAGTTTCAAATAGGTCGAAATGCACGTCCTGGATTCCGTTACTAGCCACCATCCATCTTAGTTTACAATAGTGTAACCACTTTTTACGACTAGACTGTTCTATCCAGTACACTTCATTAATATATCTTTAAGTAGAATTCTCTTATTGTTCTTAATTATACGTTTAAAAGTCCGTAGTACTTGCATTACCTAGTCGAATCATTTCAAAAGATGAGAAAATAAAGTATTCATTTGGGTTATCAAATTATTTAATAATTCAACTCAGAGTAAATCGCGAATTTGTTTTGAATTAGCTGCAACTCATTTACTGAGCACAGGTTGTGTATTCAGCTTTGAGCAGGGCTTTCTATTTAAGAGCTTTTGTTACTATTCTGTTGCCCAGACTAAAGTAACTGGAATGAATTTTGAAACCTAGATAGTGTTGATTGTAAAAAAGCTGTATGGAACAAAAGACAGTCATATATTAAGGAGGCAGTTTCTAAAGAACAGCCATCTGTACTGATCGATGTATTTATTCATCTGGTTTAAAGAGTTCACCACTACGAAATCTAAATTGTAAAAGAATTCCATTTTCGTTAGTTTGCCTATTAGTCTTGTTATAAAGGAGTTTATGGTTTATTAACATTTGATGCATAGATAAGCAGCAAACAACTGATCAAAAGTAGTGTCACACTGACTTTTCTAAATGTGGAAAAATCGTTTTCACCCATCAGTATCACAAGTGAGGGCGGCTACAATCGATGCATTCACTTTAGCTGACAATGACACCAATCATGACGATAAGCACAGCTCCTGTAGTGCAAGCATATTCTCGTCAGATATTCTCTTTGTTGCTGTAGTTATGTCCGATATTCTTTCTAGGCTATAGTAGCTCAAACTTTTATCTAGTAAGTAGTATAATGATGGTGGATCAATAATAGTATGAAGACCAATATATCTTCAAGTTGATATCTACTGCGATATAAGATAAAAAATATCTGTCCAGCAAGTTCTTTTTTCGGTAAATTTGTTCCTAAAGTTGAAGCATGCTTTATTGACAATAATAATCGGTGACATTATTAATGAAAACAATTTACTCACCATATTGACAGTGCAGCAAAAGTGTTTATTGTTAAAATATATATATTCATTAAGAGCTTGAATATTCATTAAGAATGTCATTAAAGTTAGTTGATGATTAGTAATTTTAAAAGTGAGTTATGCAATGATAAAAGAAAAATACTGGAGTGGGGTGTAACGAGGAGGTATGTGGAAACGAAAATAATCCGTAGTTCAAATCGTGAACCGATCTTAGACCATCATTGTAAATCAAAAAGCACTGGACAGCTGTTTCGTCATAGTACGAGACAGCAGTGTATACCCACGACTTCACAACCCGAAAGTCTTGGGTTTGGTACCTTGTGGTCTCATACTAGAAAGAAAAAACTGTTCAGTGCTTTTTGATCTGCTGTGGTGGTCTAATTAAAATCGGTTTATTATTTGAACTACGGAAGCTCTATAATCTTCGCTTATTAATTGAAGTAATCCGCTTCCTGTTAAAAGGTCAATAAAGTAGTGGAACGGTGGAGGTTAAGATCATTGTAATAGAAGTCTGGATAGGTATCTTTAGTCTGCATAGTTTCTAGATTCATGACAAAAGCTTCGATAATCCATAGAAGACAGAATTTCAGTGTTTCTGTACGTTATATCGGTAACTTTTAACAGTGAGTGTGTCTTTATCGGATTATTCGTGTTCACAAGGTATTTTCAATTACCAAGCTTCCTATAGTTAGGTTTCTACTTTAAATATCTAGTCTGTCTTCAAATTCTTTCGGGTCATTAACTATTACATATTGAACTAATTGCCCAAAAAAATTGTGGGATACTTTAGGTGTGTTCACTTTTGATACAGAAACCATTTGTATGTCGTTGAAAATCTATACAAATGTTGGACCCAAGAAAGTAGATGATCAATAAATCTTTGAAAGGTTTGTACACGCAAATTGTAGTTTCATAATTTAAAGGTGAATAATTCGTTTGCATTAGATTCAGCTATGTTATTTGGTTTTGAAGAAATGTAATTCCGTAAACTAGTTAACTATACATTTGACAGCATCCGCTCCACAGCTATGAAACCACTAAAATTATTGTTCAGTAAGTAGGACTTCCTAGTCTGGCTGTATACGCGTGGCCATGTGAGAGCATTGGAAGAGGGGAGCTAACTCTTGGTATTTAGCATGCTTCAGTAGAGTTAGGCACATGAATATTTTAGTTAGTAAAACGCACTGACAAAACTGTTCACTTTACCTTATTCAGTAAAATTCAATGAGACATGTCTACTCAAACTGTGGAAGTATCAGCCTGTTCGAATACTTTGTCACAACATTCCTTCCGATTTGTTTTAACCAAGTATTTATGTATGTCAACCGAGTAATTTAACTCACGTGGAATAACCTATTTCCATACTAAATACTGAGATCGGAAACATATATTATCCTATTATAGTATGTTTTCTGGTTAATCTAAACTCGATATAATTTGGATTTATGTACACTAAGAAAAATACAACATATGTAATTAGATTTAAAATGGTTTAAGGGGATAAACTAACCAAAAGCCTTTTGGAGTTATAAATACAGAATGGTTCAACACTGTTTCAAAGACATCATTCAATATGCATATATATTTGAAACTTTTCTACTAAAATTTAAATTAGGAGAAAGGATTTATAGTAGTCCATATTTTACTGATGAAAATTCCCGAATGAACAGTAGTGAATATAGTCAGAATGAAGATTTGTGGAGATTGTAGTAGTTTTAATAGTTGAATTCATGAGTCGATGTAAGCTAGGCCACCACTGAAAATCTGGAAGTACTGGACGGCCATTTCGTTCTAGTATGGGACTCCTCAATAGCGCGCATCCACGATCCCGAACGCGGAACTCTAACCCACGACCCTTTGTCTCACGCGAACGCTTAACTTGTAGACCACTGAGCCGGCATCAATCAGTTTTAATGTCTAACTTCAATTGATTCATGATCTTGTGGTGATCTAGCTTAAATCGACTCATGAATTCAACTATTAAAAGTGATTATTACCAGATCCGAGTGAAATTTGTAAATCAAGTTTCTAAATAAAATACAGCCCTTCACCGTTACTTAAGACAACTAAAGTTTAACAGGAACTTAATTCATTGTCTAATTCAGACTGACAGCCTCAGAATAGCCAACCGAAGTTATTTTGCAAATATATATCAGTATTCGTCTATTCAATCAACATGAGATTTATTTCCACAGATGTATAGTGGAAATTTTCCTCGATTACATTTATTCATAAGGACTAAATTTATGATGAAAGAGAAAGGGTTGAATAAATCCTAATCTAAAGAAATTCTTCATTAAGTAATTACTTATCATGATTTAAGCGTACACGCAATAGAGACGTATTTATTAATGTATGTAAGTTTTGTTTCACGTTTTACTTGTTTCATTTATCAATATACCTTACCTAAGATAACATGAAAAAACCAACATTATTATTATTACTATGACAAACTTAAATAGAAAAGCATAATAATGATATCCAGAAAGAACGAAAGAGACTGCATCCAGTTCATTAGAGTATTACATTTAATCAACAATATTCCGAATCACCACGTATTTTCTTCTTTTTAACAATTCATTATTAAAATTTATTGCTTATTTCAAAGAAAAATTCTAATGATAAAATAAAGTTGAAAAGAATATTAAGATTTATGTTTAGATAACTGTTATAAAATAATTAAAATGTTTTTCTTATTACTAAACAAAGAATTATTTCACTTACACGTATATATTATGCTAATCATAAATAATTATTATTAGAAGGGGGGTTTTGTGGAGATTTTAGTAATTTTCATAGTTGAATTCATGAGTGAATTGAAAATAGATCACCACGGAAAACCTGGAAGTACTGGATGGCCGTTTTGTTCTACTGTGGGACTACTCAGCAGTGCATAATCCACGATCCCATACTGCGAGATTCGAACTCAGGACCTATCAGTTTCACGTTTGAAAGCTTAACCTCTAGACCGTTGAGCCGGCATTCAACGATGTTAATGTCTAACTTCAACCAATCCACGGCATTGAGCCACTGTCAACCATT